CATGACCAACCAACCCGGAGCACCATGTACGAGGCTGCGCGCGATAACGCTGCACCATGCGTGCGAGGCTTTGCGCGAAGGCTTCGATTCGGGTAGACATTGCGCCCGGCGTGTGTACTCATGGTGCCCCGCAAGTCCCGGTGGTGTGGGTTGCCACACGCGTATTTTCATCGGCAGCTGGTGAGCGCCCCCGATTGTTGCGACATCAAAGACACGCCCTCATGTGTGAAAGCATAACAGCGAACCACACCCAAAGGAGGGGCCATGAACAAAACACGTCCGAAACAAAAGGACGCAACACACACCCCCTCTCGCGCGTGTGTCCACGCAAGAAGGCACACCCCGCCAAAACCAAAAGCATGGAAAGCATTGGAACATGATTCCCCCTCTCCCGTGCCCGCACGGCGGCATCAACAGCACTTGACGCACCTGCACCATGGGCGCGTTCGCGCAAGCTCCGAGACACTCCACCTCCAACAGCGTGAACATGCCGTCCGCCGTTGTTCCTGAGACAAAAACAAAAGAAGCAATCAATTGTACCGTGTTGGTCAACTACACGTGCGGTAAATTCTTGTGTGGAAATCACAATCGTTGATGCCATGCGAAGTGAGTGGCAGTTTGCTTAAATTCTTTGCACAAACCACAGAATAAACAGAGACGAGAGAAGACCCGGGACACTAGTTCTCACCACTCACGCCAAAGAAATCAAAGTGGGGGGGCAATTTGATATTTTCTTTCATGCTGGCAACAAATGCAAGGGAAAGAGCAAACAACAACAAAAATGTGCATAGTGTCGAGGGGAATGAGACTGCTGTATAGCTTCGCTCCTTCCTCTCCCTTTTCTCACCCCCGTTCTTGATGCCGAGCTCGTCCATGATGGTCTTCTTGATGTCCTCCGAGCCGCACACCATGCACGGCGTCGTGCCGCAGAGCTGGATGAAGTGCTTGCCCCGCTTCTCGCGGTTGAACATGGTGTAGAAGGTGGCCACCTCGTACACCTTCATCTCGTGCTGCCCCACGATCTTGGCGACCTTCTCCATGGCGGCCAGCGGCAGCCAGCCCCCGTGCTGCAAGACGAAGACCAACAAAAACAGATGGCACGATAGAGACCCGGAACGAGATCATTATATATAGGCGAGGAGCAACGGAGGCGTGCGGGTGGGATGCGTGGCAAAACAGACATAGCAGTTAAAAGTGTGCAGGGTCGTATTAACTTTGTAAAATGGGGTCGTGCGTTTTCGATATTAAGTACAACTTGCCGCCGTCATCATACACACCAAACAACGATATGAAATATATTTCATCCTTTAATGTCGAAGTCGCGACTCTGTCAAGTAGGTGACAGGCCGTCCCAACCCCCCCCCCCCCA